AAGAAGCAATATAGAATATGTTTCCTACTAAATAAAGAACACATTTCATTGAACGCTAAAGAACGAAAGAGTTAGCCGCGCGACGTCGAGAATATGTTATGTAGAATATGCCACTTATGATTAATGTGGATGAACATCTAAAAGGCGTACAATTAGCAGACACTTGTGAGTGAATGCCACAATACGCATTGATCTATAAAAATATGTTTCACATATTATAGTCTTTGATGACTTTAACAATTTTATTTAAATTAGTTAAACGTATTATGTCTTAAGAGTTTAATAAATATCCTGTCATATTTTTATATTATTCCTGGATTTCTCTCTTTTAGTTTCAAGGGCAAACTAGAAACCACATTTGTTATTACGTAGGGTTCATTTTTGTTTCAGTTGTATAATGATAGCAATAAACAATCTAACTGTTCCCGTCATTTATTTTGTAAGTATTCTATCTACATTCAAGTCATTCGAAGGTACTCATTGTTGAATGCTTTAATTCGGATCCATCACCCTTACACATAAAACTCATTTACTTCACGCATTGCAGCTTATAAACCAACATTCCAAACAAAATGACAACATCGCCTCGATTAAGATTTAATTGCTGGTCCCATAAATGACCGCGTTTGCGACTTAATTATCGCGAGCGAACCAGCACGGGGAAATGGCTGACGGGCTTTAACACATCGTCGTGTTGTTTTTATATTGAAATTGATGGGGTAGATTAAACTCTATTATTAACTCTCAGAATATTTTAGGTCAAAACCGGGTCCGGTTTTTGAAAGGCTTTTGTGGCGACGCGGGTCCAGTACGTAGAAGGCCCTTCGAGAATTTTATTATAATTTGTGCGGGTTGAAATGATATGAGGGGTATCATCCCTAGTCATAGTAGTGAGGGACTACACTATGGTTCGCTATTTTCGGTAACGATATTGCAGGCATAAATAGAACCCTCGCTAAGTCGTGGCCGGGAGCCAGATGGACTATGATACCTGAAGTGTAGGTAGACACAACTGACGTTTCTATTATTAATACAATTATTTATGCAGGTTGCTTGGGATCATGTTTTGTTCTGACAGTATGTGCATATGTTTGTCTCTTTTCAACTTGCTCGTATAGTGCGTTAGGTATTTCATTATTAAACCTAAATGAATTGCTGATCGCGCACATTGTCGCGCTTACGTTAATAACATTTTAGTGCGATAAACAACTTTGTACAGTACTGTGCTTTACAGATTGCTGCTTTTCAAGATTATTGGCTCAAGCCATGTTAATCCTATGGACACAGTTGCATTCAGAATATGTTAAATTTTCTATTAGAAAGATCGAGTTTTATTAAACAAGTATCGACATGGACCGGCTAATGATTCAGCGGCTTTGGAAGTTAGATTTGTTAAAGTTGTTCGTAAACCATCTTCCTGACGAATTTGTTGATTTTGAGATAGGCCACTATTCTAGATATTTTATGTTAACCTACCTCATTCGTACAGTGTACTCTAGGAACCATACAAATCCCATCAGATATAAGTTTCATTAGTAAGTACAAAGGTTATATATGCATATATTTTGATACGAGTCTCGATATAATTTAATTTTAAAGAGATATTACAATTTCAAAATAGATCATCTAATCTGCATATTAATCATATTTATAAGCTTATTTGTATCATCCTTAGGTTTGCCGTTTTCTACAGTAAGTATTTAAATTAATTCAGAACCATTTCATTTCGCTTTAACAACATCTACCCTATCCCACAGTTGGAAACGGGTATTCTCTAATGAGATTGTTTAGGCATTATCCGTCACATTGCACGCACTGGCCCAATACGGATTAAGAATTTGACGTATAAGTTTCTCCTTCACCATTGGCGACAAATATTGATACTACAAGATCACAAGCGTACCTAATTTAGAAATTGAAATCCAGTACCGTAACAAAGATTCAAACCACCGGATTCTTAATTGAGAAGCAAACGTCCTCCCATGAACCATAACCTCTGTTTTACGTAGCTTATTGGGTGTTATTACCCGATGCTCAGAAGAATAATTAAATTATCGTCATCTTTCTTTTATGATACATTTCTAAATATCATTTGACCTTGTCCTATTGTAAGGATTTTCTTACATGAATAAGAAGCAGTTCCTTTTGTGTACGTTGTCCCTTAGGATATGGATATGTCTTGGGCACAAAATAATGATGTAGTACGAAAAACGGCTCGGCTCCTTTTGCACTTAAGATATCAAATCCCCTCTACCCACAGACGATAAGACAGTCCAATGTTGTGGACTGCTACCAGATGTTAAGAGTATGTTAAACGATAAAGTGAACAATGTTCAAAGTACGACAATAACCCATAACGTCATACTGTAAAGCCATTTCAAATTCCATCTTAACGATGCTTTATAAACTAAATGGTTGCAATTCAAGCTGACTGTCGCGAGTCACGCTAGACCACCAACCAACAATATCAGATATGAGATTCGTGGAAACTCGGCTGTATGCAGTTTATAATTTACTTATTATGATTTAAATTCGCAAAGAGAGTTTAAAGATTTACTTTAAATGCAAAATAGACGAACGCTTGGTGTCATCTGATGTTAAACGACGATATTAAGCGTTTGTCTATTCACTCTAACTTTAAATAACCCCAAATTGTGGTCTTCCGGAAACATAGAAGCAGTGAATTCTTTCGTCATGCGCATCGGGAAAGATGAAGCAAAGCGCTTCTTGCACGTGGATGGTCAGTTAATGACGTAAGAATAAAGTGTTCCGGACTTACTAAAAGTCCGAAGGAGAAATGGTGCAAAAGGAGGAAACACACTTATTTTTTATGTTTACCAACTGACAGGACGAACAACGTTTACTTGGTGGAAAGTAATACAGTCGCCACTCAGAGTTTAAAATCGTAAAGACTTGCGAGGTGCTGCCACTGCGTCTGTCGCCCTGAGACATAAAGTTGACAAGTCCCAAGTGCCTGTTGTTTCACAATGTTCATATTAATGCTTAGCGGCTGGAGTAATAGGTAAGAAGGCAGTGCTTCCCTGGACGAACTCTTTCACAAGGAGTTTTACTGCTATTGACTTTCAAAAATGTATCCGATAGAGGACCAACAAGTGGGCCACTTTTCTGCAGTGATCGAGACTTAGAAGGCTTCAACTTCACAAGAAAGTTGTCGCCGATTAGTCTCTTTGCTTTTTACTCCACCGAGTGCAAAGTAGCCAATTGGTATCGGAATCGTCCGTAGAAATAGCAAGTTCCAGTGACAATGAGTCATGCAGGTCGTAAAACCGAATATTTATGGCGAAGAGTAGCACTAGTCGAAGATTGTAAGTATTGTAGATAGTTTCAAATAAGTATCCTTTGAGTAGTCCTATTGTTCGCCATAAATATCTCGTTTTACGGCCTGCGTGACTCATTGCATTGCATCGTGAACTTGCTATTTCTACGCAAGAATACGAAGTTTAGTCAATTTTATAAGTATTGTAATTAATTTCGTCAATTTTTATAATGAGGATAAATGTAATAATTGAATACCTAATACTTGGCCTAACCTTACATTGACTTTTCGTACCATAACGCGCTTAAAGTAAGCTTATTATAATGTTAAAACTATGATGTTTTAGTGATTATTCATCAATCAGTTCGCACTATGACGCGACTTTAACATTAAAGTAATATTGTTCTTATGTCAAATTTAGCAATCTTAAAATAGTTACACGGATGCAATCGAAACAATATTATTTTCGAATTTATTGTCTTAATATTGATTTGTAATGATTAAAAGTTAAGTTGAACTTATTTGTTTACATATACTTCTTCAATATTTTCTTTATTTTTTATTTAACAGCACATAGGAAATAATTTCTCGTTAAATAAAAATACGCGATGTTTATTTATGACGATGTAATATTATGACGGCGCCATCTATATGCTCCTTCCAAAACTAATATTTGACACTAGACTGTAATTCCGAATTCACAACGTCACAATCAAGACTCGGCTTGTTTTATATTTTTCTTCATGAAAATGCGGAAAAATAATTGAAAAAAACGTAATTTTAATAGATTTCATTATTACATACTTTTCTTTTTTTGGCAGTTAAAATTCTCTGAATGTAAATAACATTAAGTACTTAAACATTACACTACGATAACATGATTCGGAACATCAAAAAAGAAAGAAATGGCATTATATAGTTCACATAGCGTTATCTCTTTCCCATTTTTAGTAAGAAATAGACAATATTGGGAAACCACTTTTGCTATGATATGATATATGATATACGAATATGAGTAATATTATAATAAGCTTACTTTAAGCTTATATTGAAATAAGAATTTTTTCGGAAAGGTTATGGTAGGCCCCCTGACTCCTTGATCATCTATTTGGTTCTGAGTAGGTCAGGGTGAAGAAAGGTGTCAGGCAAACATAACCTTTGACCAGTGAGTCGTAGAATTAATTTTGATATGACTTCCTTATTGCATCATTACTGAAAGACGTTTTAAGAAATTTTTAATTAAATTACATAAATACAAATTTCAACCAAAAAACTGAAAAATTCCTTTACAGATGCGCGGAATGACGAAAAATCCAGTACCAAGTTCTTTAACAAAACACGAACGATAATTTCGACATCTCGGTAACTTGACCCGTAGCTCAATTAGTAAGAGCAATACTACGGCGCAGTATCGTCGTGGGTTCAAGTTCCATCGGGTCTAAAAAGTTTTTCTATGTGTTCGGTCTTTATATTAATAATCATAATAAAAACTAGTGGAGTTATTTCACAAAAAATCTCAATAACAAATTCCTTTACACTTTTCTGCTAAATGCAGAAAATAATGAATAAATAATGAATAAAGAATGCTAAATCACATAATTAAGAAGTCGGTCGGTAGTCGGGGTCAGGCTTACATTTCTGATGCTAATTAAAATGCATCTAAGTGACAAAATATTTTTTCACTTCTCATGCTCTTAAAGTTCGTATTAAGTACGATTCTCACCGACCGGGCGGAGTCGGCGCGCGCTCAAGCGCATCTAAATAATTGCCAAAGGAATGTTGAGCTTCTGTACAGTAGTCAGATCCCATATTCGAATGTTATTGGCACTGCTGCCGGCCGATCGGGCGCTTGAGGACGCGGGCGAAGGTGCCCGGCTGTCGTCGCGCGCAGTCGGCTCCGTTCGGATACCGCCGCGCGCAGTTGGCTCCGTTCGGTTACCGCCGCGCGCCGCCGGGCGCGCGCGTCGGCCGCAGGCACGTCTGATCGAGACATCGAGACGATACAAGACGTGATGGATTCCGAGGAGAAACTTATATGTTTAGTGCAAAAATATGAATGTCTGTATAACATTAACTATAAATCCTACTGTGATAAGCAAAGTAAGCAAAATGCTTGGGAGAAAATAAGTAAGGACTGGCACATTCAAGCAAGTGGCTCTAGTAAATTTAATCACTCAGACGGACGCAGTCGGCTGCCACCGGGCGCTCCAGCGTCCGCTGGAACGTGGCGGCAGCCGAACGGCTACCACCGGCTGCCTGAGCGCCCGTTGCGATGCGGTGCCAGCCGACCCGGCCCGGCCCGGTCAATGAGAATCGTACATTATGCTGGATGTAGGCTGCATAAAATAGGATTTTATGCCCTGGTGCATAAAATAAAAGTTTTACTCGTGTTTTTTTAATCCGTGTTATATTACTAAATTAAAAAAGTAGGCAATAGTAATTCTAATAAGTTATAAGAAATAGAAATGCATAAAAAATAAGAGATTGTAAAATATAACAGAGCATTATATAGTCCGACCTGAATCACGTGTAGAAAATAATCGTTTATTTGTAATATTGCTGTTTAATTTTCTCGCAATCGAAGTGAAAAGCAGAGTGTATAACTCGTTCATAAAACCCATTATACCCTCGACTTAAGTATTCACCGTCGCATATACTCGTCTCGGGTAAAATGACGCGTTTTATGCACTTGTTGTACAATCTACTATTTTGAGATATCATATAAAATCATAACCCAGTTTTACAATATTGACATTGTTTAATGATATTTCAGCTGTGCATCGTTAGGGTAAGTTCCGATAACACGTTCGACAACACGTCAACTAATTTTAACTGTTTTTAAAAGAGATTTTTGTGCTCTATTTTTAATCGACTTCAAAAAAAGGAGGAGGTTCTCAATTCTACTGTATGTTTTTTTTGTATGTTACGCGATAACTTCGGTATTTGTGAATTGATTTTGATGATTCTTTTTTTGTTGGAAAGAGGGAACCTCCACAGTGGTCCCATTTAATTTTGAAGAAAATCATCCACCTCTAAGGGTGGCTTCACGCATGAAGATTCATTTTTATAAATAGCGCCTAAATTTTATTCTATGGAGCAATTGTTTTAAATATTGTTTTTGCTATTCTCCGTACATACTTATAAACTTTGAGAAGTGAGAACCGATTTTTATTATCTCCTGTGTCAAGTTCCGTATAGTGGTGAACTAGGGGATGAATCCGGGTTTGCGCACTTTTCAGTAACCGATTTCAATAAAACTTGGTAATTATATGTAATTCCACGTACTTTTGAAGTCGGTTTTTAAGTACTCTGTACTGAGATTATTTGCTATTCAAAACGGATATTTGACTACAGCATTTGTATACGGCAGATTCCCTACTGTCCTAATGTTTCAACGTTTGTAGTGTTATTATAACGTAATAGGAAATAATATAATGTCGGATAAAATATATTAGATTTTACTAAAAAAACCGACCTCAAAAGCACGTGGAATGACGTCTATTTGCTAAGTTTCATTGAAATATCCCCTAGTTCGCCACTATACACGACTTGATACTGGAGAAAATAAAAATAGGTTCTCACTACGACAGTACTCAAATCTTCATGCGTGAACAGCCACCCTTTGAGGTGGACGATTTTCTTCAAAATGAAATGGGACCACTATGGAAATACCCCCTTTCCAATAAAAAAAGAATCATGAAAATCGATTCACAAATACCGGAGTTATCGCGTAACATACATACAAAAAAAAAGAAAAAATGAAAAAAATAGAACATGCAGTCGAAATGAGAACCTCCTCCTTTTTTGAAATCGGTTAAAAAACCATAAAAAAGTATAACGAAATACCGAATTTAAATTTTCGGTTTCTTTGCATCGTCAAACACGTTTTAGTAAATAAAAATAATTAATAATCATAAAGTGTATCTACTCAACATGAAATTAATTCTGCATTTATCTTCATAATATCATTACTGCATGTTAATATAATCCATTGTAGCATTGTTAAAGCACTTACATATTATAACCAATGTTTCAGCTCAATCAAACATCGGGAAACCAATTTTTAGTAGCAGTAGCTAGCTCCTTGTGAAAGAGTTTATCCAGGGAAACACTGCCACTTTACCCATTTCTGCCACCAAGCAGTCATGTGAGCATTAATGCGTTCCAGTTTTAAAGGGTAAGGGTGCTGATGTAATTACAGGCACATGAAACTTGTCACCTTATGTCTCAGGATGACGGGCGCAATGGCAGTACCCCGATTTTCGATATTTAAAGCTCTGAGTGGCTCAGCGACTGTGATGGACAGGCGTGTAGCTTACCACCAGACACACGACTCGTTCGTCCCTTCACTTGATATTATAAAAAAGCATTAAAACCTTTGACTCAGGCAGACTACAAGACAAAGAGATATAAATAAAAAATACAAGGCGATGAGAACTATACCCGGCTAACTTTATCTGATAAAGCGCCAGATAAGTTACGCAAAAGCACTCTCGTATTTATGTCATTACAATTAAACTACTAATGTATTAGTTGAGTCAAGGCATAGGCTGACAGCAAAACTTGGTGACATTTGATTATTACACACGCAACCTTTGCTATCCCAAGTAATAACAAGGTTGCTGATTAACCGCCGATGTAAAAAAATGCGTGTTAGTATAAATTTGAAGCCTTTCTCTGTGTATATGTGTTTGTTTGTCCGTAAATCAGAAAGCATTTTTTGTTTGATGGCTAACATGATTTTAGCTGCGTTTGATGAACAATTTCAGCTGGTTCAAGTTCAGCTTTTTTCTCATTTAGTTTATGGACATGTCATAAGATGAATATTTATGTTATTTCCTCTTGTCCAGTTGATTTGATATTTAATATTTTTATACTATGCAAATCTTATGACATTACAATAGTACCTATAGTAACTTTGATCCAACGTGAAACATGTTCCATTGATATAAACTTTTTTGATCACATATGCAATTTTTTCATTAACACTGGCGTTTTGTCTACCAATTTTCTATGAGATGGCAGTAGCTAGCATCCACTCCACATCAGCTTTGTCATTGTGAATGTAAAATATAAGATCTCTTCATGGTCCCAAAAGTGGAACAATTTGAAGATATTTTTAGGACAAAACAGGGCCACATGACAATGTGGGCTAGAAGTGACATAAAACTATAATCTGTTGACTTGAACCACAGAATTATCTGCCTTCTTCAATTTATGTTCGACCCATTAATAAGTGGCGACGAGCGAAAACCGTCGTCGTCGGATTGCTTTCCTCGCTGCGTATAGAGCTTATTTATTGCCACTGTGAATCACACATCAAGAACTTAAATAATACATATATAATTATCAGATACACTACATTCATGATCAACATGTTGGTCGATTTTCATACCTTATATTATATTACTGGACAATGGTAGAAACCGACGGAGTAGTTTAAGGACATTTTCCTTAGGTTTTAGCCAGCCAGACTGGCATTATACAGGTTGGGGATTCTGCACTTCTTTAAATTACGACCAGCAGGTTCATCGTAATGTTTTCTTGCAACTTTGATTTATGTGATAAAATTCAAGACATCCCACTTTTCTGTTTTATTTATCAGCGTCTCTTTTATGTGAACGTAATGATTTCTACAGAATATTAATTTGTGAAAATTTTCTTGCTAAAACATAATATTTTAAAGAAAATGAAAAGAAGTAAGTAGTAGCTTTTTAATTTTATTCATTGAAGCGATGTTAAGGCTGTAAGATATTTCACAATTTTTTATCAAAAAATACTTTTTTCCATGAAAAAAGGCCTTTATCAATGACAATGAAATTTAATCATTATTAGACCCATCTTCCAATCGAGTAGGCACGCCCAAACAATTTAACAGGCATCCATCTTCCCAACGCAATTTCGCTCAGTCGCGAGAAAAACGACATCAAAATTTCAATTTTTACCCAAAAGCCAATTTCCAATTATCGCGACGGGAAACGAAAACAAAGGAAGTTTTCAATTACCAGAGAAAAGGCTGTAATGCGACGTAATAACGACATGCTCCTAGTTGTGACTGACGAGTAGGGGATGGATAGGGTGACCATTTTATTAGACGTCCACTACAGTTAACGCTTCTATACAGTTTGGATGATTTATTTCTTTCTCAACCACGACTTTGTATGACTTAATGTTTTCATACTTTTACTTCGATGTCAGTGTAGCAGCTTAATTTTCCCGCAACTAATATTGTAAGTGCGTACTTGAGATAATTTATAATTATGAAAGTTCGTCTCATATATTTCTTTTGCGTATCAGATTTTGAAAATTTAAAAGATTATACTTCCACTTTGATGCCCACCCTCGGTTCTTGAAAGGCGAATCCTAAGATCAAAGGTCCCGAAACGTGTGAATCGAGTTAGTGAAGGGGGCGACGGGGACAAAAAGCTTTTGAGGCGTCATTAAATCCAAGCTTTTTCCGTGTTAATGTGACTCCACTGGACAATACCGACAATTCCTTTTTTACAGAAATTCCATCGCAGGTCTTTCGATGATTCCTTTTGAAAAATTCCTCTTTATCTTTTGAATGTGATTTTGAAAATAATGGCAGTCTCATTATTTTCAAAATCCTTTTGTAAGTCCATTGGTAAATTAAAGAAAACTTGGCGCAATAAAATGTTTGCTCCTTTGTGTGGGACCGTTTCATATTACGCAATCTATTTGGGAATCTTTATTCGATTTTTTATTTCATTGCTTGTTTTTAAACTTCGTTTCAGTAACACTCTGGAACACAATAAAACAAAATTGTATCATTTTCCTTACGTTTCGTT